TTTCGATATGGCTAACTATCGATCGTTTACCATAGTGCTTATCCCTCAAATATTATACTGGCCTGCTACCACAATTGAGTGATTGAGGTCACTGGTTAGTGGTGATAATGTGTGTTTTAACAGTGGCCTGCTACGGCTGAACCCTTCGAGCAACTGATAATTCAATAATTATTTTCTTCCTCCTTACTACATAAGAAATAAACACATTCACAGACACAAATACGCACGCGCGCTTAAACATGCATGGGCTGCAGTGTGGACTTACTATGGGAACTTAATTGTTGAATATTTTTTTGTTGTGTACCTTTTTCAGAATTAATTGTATTATTAAAATGCGTATGTGTATTTGCCAAAGACCAGTTCTCTTGTATTTACATTTCACAGATTTAACGGCGAGGGGTTGAATATAGGGAGGGGAGGACGGACAGCTAAATCGACTAATCTCGCCGCCCTGATCAAGAATATACATACTTTATGGGGTCTGCCACGCCTCTTTCAGGCTGTTACATACTTAAAAAAAAACCATTGTACCCTTATTTCCCATCAATGGGTTCGGGGTATACAAATATTTTTAGACATTTCATTTAAGTTTATTAAATAATTAACTATATAGCTTTAATAATTAAAAATATAAAACCGATTTTAGCTTCCTACCCGGAATATCCAGTTTGTGCTTCTATTCAAAAATTTTTTGATCTCGATGAAATCTATTTTAAATATTTGTTTTCAACATATATAAGCTTTATACATATATAAGCATAATATTATATTTTATCAGGCTCAACTCTTCTTCTGGGTTTCTCTCTGTCCAAACTTTCAGTTCAATTTTCATTTAATTTAAATTCCTGCGGCCGGCCTCGCGCATTTTGTTCACTCTGTGGCTTATTATAAATTTCTTGCGAACAGGCCTCGAATTGTTTTATATTTGTAAATCATGGCTAAGGCAAAACTATATATACATACATATATATATATATATATATATATTAGGTATCTGCATATTTGATGCAGGCAAATTTTGAAAGCAACAGAACAACTGCGTTTTAATGCAAGCATAAGTTGCGTAAATCGGTGTGAATGAAAGGCTGTGAAGTTTAAACTATTAGATGTATTTATACTCATTCACGAGAGTGAAATGAGTATATTGGTGTTGTGCAATGTCTGTGTTGTCCGTCTGTCTGTCCGTATGAACGCAATTATTTCGGCGCTATTGAAGCTGGGGACCACAAGTTAAGTCAATTTAACGCTTATTATTGATAATGTATAAATACATATTTGCAAGCATATGTAAGAAACTAGTTTGTTAACAGTTGAAGACTTTAAGTTTTAGGTTTACATTAGTTTGGATAACAGCACTTTACAATTTAAGTTGACTCAAAGAAATATGCACAGTTGTTATTATAATGGGCATATGTATGTGTGTGTGTGTATATTGGTGTTGGTTTTTTATGCTGAAATCGTGACTGGAAATATGTTTACTCAAATGAAGTAAGTGAGAATTGACAAATGCAGTCTTTGCTATTAGGGGAGAGGAAACATGCCTGGTAGTTGCCTTAGCAGTGGGTCAAGCTGACGAGCTTCAGGCATATGAGATGTGCTCCAAAAATGTCACAGTATAAATATATATATATGCATGCATGTACAAATTCAATAACTGTGTGAGAAAATGACGTGCAGCTATTGCGGCGCCAAGGATTCGACCCGATCCCACTCGAGTCGTCTTGACAAAATATATATTGGCCCACTAGGCAGCCAGCAATCTGCAGACGCTCACTTCTTTGGCCTTATAAAAAATACGATTTTTCTTCATTTGATGAAATGAAATACAATTTCTCAAGCACCAACACGCTGAAGCGAAAAAAAAAAGTTTGGTTGCAATGGCCATTGCAATTTTCTTGGCGCACAATGCGCTCTTCCGTTGCCCGTTGCTTGCATATTGACGTTTTTATAAGTCAATATTTCTTTGGATTACAGTAGTAACAGGGCAACGCGACTGCTTACTGATTTGGGCCACCAAAAAACTTTGGCTATACATATTTAAAGTTTTTGTATACCGAATTAATTTATTCGCCAGACACGTCTATAAACATGACTATCATGAAAGTTTGCTTTCTCTCTGACTTTGTTGCTTTCGAATTAAATCTTGTTTGCTTTTACGAATTGTTGCTTCTCTTAGAGATGTGCAACCGTTGGCACGAATACGCGATTCGTTGTTTTAATTATCTCCTGTGTTATTTTCATTATTGCCACAGCTCAACCTATTTGAACGAATACACTTGACTTTGATGGTGTTTAGTTTTTATACCCTGAACCCATTGAAAATGGGAAATCAGGATATAATGGTTTTGTTGTAATGTATGTAACAGGCAGAAGGAGGCGTGGCAGACCCCACAAAGTCGATTTGGCACTGTCCGTCTGTCTGTCTGTCTGTCCGTCCGTCCGTCCGTCCGTCTGTCCGTATGTATGAACGCGTCGAT